TCAGTTTTTGACCATTTAGTATGATGTTGGCTGTTGGTTTTTCATAGATAGCCTTAATCAGGTTGAGATATAGACCTTCTATTCCAATTTTCTGTGGCTTTTTTTATCATGAATGGGTGTTCAATTTTGTCAAATGCCTTTTCTGCCTCTATTGAGATGATCATATGGTTTTTGTCCTTGACTGTTAATATAGTGTATTACATTTATTGATTTACATATATTGAACCATCCTTGCATCCCTGGGATAAATCCGACTTGGTCAGGGCATATGATCTCCTTGATGACTTCTGTTTGCCAGTATCTTGTTGAGGATTTTGCATCTATGTTCTTCAGGGAGATTGGTCTATAGTTCTCTTTTTGGGTTGGATCTTTCCCTGGTTTTGGAATCAAAGTAACACTTGCTTCCAGGAAAGCATTTGGAAGCCTTGCTTCCCTTTCAATTTCCTTGATGAGTTTAAAGAATAATGGCAATAGTTCTTCTTTAAAAGTCTTGTAGAATTCAGCACTGAACCCACCAGGACCTGGGCTTTGCTTTGTTGGTAAATTTTTTATTACATTTTCAATTTCACTCATTGTTATTGGAGTGTTTAGAATTTTTATATCTTCTTCATTTAACTTTGGCAATTTGTATGTATCTAGGAATCTGTCCATTTCTTTTGTGTTTTCCATTTTATTAGAGTACACGTTCTCAAAGTAGGTGTTGATGAGCCTCTGAATTTCTGCTGGATCTGTTGTGGCTTCATCTTTTTCATTCTTAATTGCATGGATTTGAGCCTTTTCTTTCCTTTTTTTGATAAAGTTGGCTAATATCGATTTTATTTATTCTTTCAAAAAACCAGCTCTTCGATTCATTGATTTTTTGTATCATTCTTTTAGTCTCCATTGCATTGATTTCTGCTATGATATTTATAATTTCCTTTCTTGTACAGGCTTTGGGCTTGTTATGCTCTTCTTTTTCTAGGAGCTTGAGGTTCTGCATTAGGTTATTTATCTGAGTTCTCTCTGTTGTCCTAATATGGGCATTCACTGCTATGAATTTCCTGCATAGAACTGCTTTCATTGTGTCCCACAGATTCCTGTATGTTGTACTGGCATTATCATTTACTTGTAGAAACTGTCTTATTTCTTCTTTAATTTCCTCTGTGACCCACTGGTTGTTCAGGAGGGTGTTATTCAATTTCCATTGTTTGTGTGGGTTTTGCAGTTTCTTATGTTATTGATCTCCAATTTTATTGCACTATGGTCTGATAATATACAGGGGATAACTTGAATTCTTTTACATTTACTTAGATTTGCCCTATGAGCTAGCATGTGATCTATTTTGGAGAACGACCCATGTGCA